ATAGCCATGGTTTAAAAGGCTTATGGAGGTAAAATGTTACCAGCAAGGATTGATATTCTAGTTTTATCATAGTTACTCTATCGCCTTTTGTCATACGCAGGGTTGATGCAACATAATTGCTGTACGTTGTTATCATGAAATAAACATCCTTAGCGGCTCACATCATACATTCTCACAACATGAATGCTGCCTTCAACAACTAATCTACGAAGAAACTCTGGAGAAGGAGCTAACACATCACGTTTAATTGCAATTATTATGAAAGGATGTTTCTAAGTCAACCGGCAGTTTACCTGAGACAGCAACAGGATACACGTAGGAAAAAAAGATTTCCAATTGACCTGCTTTACGACATCACGATGTACTTGTCTTGAAACACCGTTATGGTCAAGAAGCTCACTTAAGCCTATACCAAACGTTTGGATTATGTTCCAGTTGAAATTGTGTTCAGATTGCTTGTATCGGATCGCAGCCTCAAACACGAAAGCGTCATCGGTGGCTAGTTAAGGTAATAATACATTGTAAGTTAGACGTTCGTTTTCTAAGGTTTTAATCCGCATTACCAGACGCTTCTTCCATTACAATGTCATTGACTGCATACTGCTCATCATAATTTTAGATGGAAGTGAAGTTTTGATTGAACATCATCTTGTGCGTTTGTATTCATATTTTTCATTCACTTCTTACTGCAAAACAATGGAATTTTACTCTTCATTGATGATGTACCTTTGGAGCATCGTTTTCAAGAAGACTGTCGGACTAGCTGCATCTAAAGTTGCGTGATGAAATCATGAAATTAAATCGATGGAAGTGTTAAAAAACATGCCGTATGTTAATCACAATATAAGGTATTTAACGCAGTTGCATTAATTAGTAGATCCAATTTTAAATTCCAGATAGCTGTCATAATGTATTGCAACTAGAGCTAATTTTTTTATTTAGAAGCATGGATCATAACATGGATTTGATCTTAAAACCATGACGTACAAGAATATAGAGAATTTCAAAAGCACGTTTTTTCGGACAAATCGTTTTTTTTCAATGTACAGTCCCCTCCACAAAGAAAGTTCCACCCTGTAACTCCGATATGTATCCTACATGTATGTTCCATCTTCATACATGATTTTTGACAGACTTTTATAAGCAAAAAGCTTTCAAAAAACTCCATATAGTAGAAAAGACAGTATTGAACATTATGATATAAATTTTATGAAAAAAAAAAGTATTTTAGACAAACGTAGGCTTACTCAATAGTGAATTGGGTACCCTTTGTTTTTTATTACATCGCTTATGCGTTTAGGCACGGAATCAATAAGTTTGTTAATTTTCTCAACTTCTATCTTTTTCCATTCGTTTATAACGTGCATCTGTAATGTCGAAATATTTTTTACAAACTGCAAACGGTTTTGTCTTGCGAGTTTCATCATTATCCAAACATTCTCTATTGGATTCAAATCTGGAGATTGTGGCGGCCAATCTAAACAAATAATTCCCATTTCCTTCTTCCATTTTCGGGCAACTTTTGAAGTGTGAATTGGTGCATTATGTTCCATGAGAATTGCTGAACTACAGCCGTTATAAAACTCCTTCAAAACCGGTTCATATACTTGATTTATGAACTGAGCACTAGATCTTTCACCCTTGTTAAGTAAAACCAAATTAGTGCGACGATTATATCCAATACCACCCCAGACAGATAAGAAGGATCGTCCACTTTGAAATGTTGGCGCCAAACATGACGGAATCATGACTTCATTAGGCCTACGGCGTACCCGAACAACACTAGAACAACTGCTGGTTTGAAAGCTTGATTCATCGGTAAATATAACCTTTCTCCAGTCTTCCAAACTCCAGTTTTGATGCTGCTTTGCAAATTCTAGACGACTTTTTCTTTGCTTCTCGTTAATAAATGGCTTTTTTCGGGCTATACGACTATTCAATTGGAGCTTTTGAAGCTCTTTCCCGAATGTATTGATGCTTGCATTGACATCGACGTTGGCCATAATTTCATTAAGAGTACTACGTCTATTTTTCATCACATAGCGTTGTAACACCCTTTTGTCCCTGTTACTAAACTCTTTTGGCCTTCCAGAAGTTGCTCGTCTTTGATATAAACCAGTTTCCTTAAAGTGTTGGATGGCGCGACGGATGGCAGTTCTTGAAAAATTTAATTCACGAGCAATTTGTGAGATAGAAGTGCCTTGATTTGATTTTGCAACTGCGCAGGCTTTTTGATCAGGTGTCAATTGAGACATACCCAATTGTAGGAGAAAAAAACATAAAGGTGAAAGAGTGATGAGCATTAGATCAATGAAACCTATCCTTTTAAAAAAGAGTCGGAGTTACAGGGTGGAACTTTTTTTTTGGAGGGGACTGTACATTATAAAATAGTTTAAACAAATCTTCATGTAAAGTAAAGGACATGGTTCGTACTATGCTCAAAGTTCCGAACCATGTATTTGATTTGCAAACCAAACTTCTATCCAACCACTCCCAGGCACACGTGTATTGTGACCACATGGAGGAACGGTTGATTGCAGGGGGCGATACTTAAACTTTACAGAGAAACCGTACGCATAACATCGCATTGGTGCATTCTGACATACAACAACTTGTTTTCTTAAATGTCGATCAGAAGACCGAGTCATCGTCGGTCCGAAGTATCGCTCGTTTTCCTAATGGTACTGTAGCGTTTTAAAAAAAAGTTACAGTTTTAGCCATTTCATTTTGTTTTATTGGCTGAAATGATTGTCGGCCGTTAACAATATACCTTATGCTCTTTTTGTTCGTTTCGAATGATGGGCCTCCCCTGCTTAAATATTTCAACACCGATAATATTTGATGGCTATCACTAAACGTTTTTGATAACTAAAATTGTAAACTGCTTTTATATTATTGTTTAAATATAATGTTACTATCGTTCTTCTGTCAGCGTGAGAAATTCGAGAGATAAAGCAACGAATTAAGAATAAAAATAAAGAAATTTGACGAAGTAAAATTATCAAACTGCAAAAATAAACTAAAGTCTTTATTATACAATAAATTGGGTTCTTTATATACATATTCAGGGCTGGCTGAATATCAATCATTAAAGTGAAACCTGTCAAATATACAATAGGCGTATTGTCAATTAAAGATCGAGCATCTCATGGTACCTTCGAGAATCTTGTTATTGACGAGCGATCATATCATTGGATTGTATTATCTGGAATAAATGTATGACTATTGTTTTCTATATGTTGATGAGTAATCAATGCGTAGTAAATAGAGTGTTATAGCATGTATTTGATTTAAAGAGTAATGCAATAATGATTTATAGAAAGGTTATCAAATAAGAAAGAAAGAATTGATGATAGAGTTATATCTGTATATAAGCTCGATCACAACACAGCGATTTGTAGAAAAACGTTTTTTGGGGTATAAAATTGGATTTAAAAAAGTGCAAAACATTTGTCAGGTTTAAGTTTGGTGGCACGTTATAAAACAGACTGTATTCAATTAAAAAGCGTCTTTATAAACGATCATGATACAATTAATATCTCAGCTATATTAACTTGTTGTGAGTTCACAATTGATTTTGGCTGTTATCTACCATTTTACTTCATCGGAAAAATAATACTGTTCTAATTTTCACATTGAACGTACTGATTTAAAGAATCACAGAGAACATATTTGTATCTGCGGTTCTGTATCTGTTTTGGCCTTCTTAATTATTGGTTGACCAGCCATGGTATCTGCGTAAATCGCATCAAATTTCAATACCATGTATCACAAAACAGAATGTAAAACAAAATCTTGTGTCTTTAAAAAAAATTCCGTAAGAACAGTTTACTTCGTGTTTATTGGTAGTTAGGGAATTTATAAACTGCAATTGAAACTGGGTTATTATTACGAATCTAACATTTTACTGACATCAGAAAAGATCGTGTGTCTTGTAACCGTGTTATCATCAAAAAGGGTCCAGATTAATGATTCTCATTTCTTAATCCTTACACTATTCACAGCATTAATAATGAACAAATATAACATTCTGTAAGTACCCTTGGAACAAATTTTGACTAATAATTTTGTGATTTTTAAAGTGAAATGAATACTTGAAAACAAAACGAAAAAGTTTATTATTTGGCGTAAAAACACCGAGAAACCTAAACTTTCCTTTTCTTTGTTGGCTGTTCAACCTCCGAAGAGGAAAGAGCAACAGAAAAGCGTTTTCGTTTGGCACAAACCCTCGCACGAGGGAGTGCCAAAACGGCGAAAGAGGGAGGAGGAGGGACGGAAGGGAAGGCAACCAGAACAGGAGAACAAATCATAGCCCTAAGAGGGCGGCGGCGGCGAGCCGAACGCAAACGTCGCGAAGGCGAGACGCAAAGACGGACACGGCGGAGAAAAGAAGAAATTATTTTTCTCCTCTTCGGAAATTTTTCTTTCTCAGAAGAAGAGAAAGAAACGAAAGGGAGAAGTCTTTTTCTTGTGTTGAAAGAAAATATAAAATTAGAACTGAATTCTTTCAATTAATGTGCAAAAGTGTAATAATTGCCATGTCCAATTTGGTGACATGGCGAAATTGTCAAATACTTACTGGCAAATCTTGGTATTTTGCAGCATTTTTTTATTCTGAAAATTTTATAAACGAAAGAAAAGAGAAAACTGTTTTGTTGATTTCCGACAACTTTTAAACTATATTTCTTGGGTACCGATGACGTAGGTTTGCTCGCGCACTATAGCCCATATACAAGCCACAGCAAGACTTCCATTCGGATTGGCCGGAACGGTTTTATTTCTATATTAGGTTGCGGTCTGGGTGTGTGGTAACGTCACCCTTGGGCGTTCATATATGTAGATCATTTCCGTAAAGTTATTTGGCGGTCTATTAGGTCGAGAAATGTTATAACAAAAATTACTCTCAAATAATCAGGTTTAATTGTAAGCGCTGGCACATTCGAGTTTATAGCTTTGAAAACATACTTATATATTCTGCTCGAAACACCATTTAATTTTACATGTCAATGTCATTCCATGACATGGCAAGATCAAAAAAAATCTGTATATTCGGTATAAGCCGTGTCGGACGGAGCTTTAAATTGGTTAATCTTCTAAGATGGGCCCACGGTAAATAGGATATAAACGTATAAGGGCCTGAAGTCAATTACAGTATTCGACAATTTCAATAAAAAATATCGTTCGTTATTGTATCGAAAAATGAACATTAATCACAGAAATAAGGCAAAGTGTTTGTATCCGGTGTTGAAGAACTGTTCCATTCTCAGCCTTAATGCAAAATAAAAGGTGTGATTCAGTCAGTATCTCATTCAACAACAGTGTATTTTCAGATTTTAATCATAAAGATCAAGTTTCAAAACGTAGAAAAAGAAAAAACCTGGATTTAGTAATGAATAATTTGAATTAGACTTCAACGTAAGCTTGTGGTTCATAACGTAATTTTGATTTTTTTTTCATTGCTTACCGTTGTCCACAGAAGTGGAGGCAAAGCTACAGGAATAAAACTTATAGCTGAACTAGTAACATGCGAACACAATGTCCAACAATGGTCCATCTCTATTGATATCCTTTTATCTCCAATTATAAAAGCAGTTAGGCGTATTGTAATAGTGCAGAATTAAGAATTAGTGATTGAAGTAAACTAGAATGTTAGATAACCAATCTATATAGAACTATTGACGTGTAAACCATATCATCAAATAATTTGACAAACGAAATAGTTCAATAGATTCTTCAGTTCCGTATAATTTCAGGAGATGATTATCGGACTAGCATTTTGATGTTATAAAACAACAGCACTTACATACATATTCAAAAAAGGTCGTCTACCTATCAAGTAAAAATTTTAACATATACCACCCTCTTCAAATTAGATTGATGTAATTAATTAACCTCCTGAATCATTAAAGAGATTCATGCATTGGAAAAATATGTAAGGTGGAAACCGTATCCTTGTCATAGGTCCAATCTAGGTATAGCATATATGTCAAGGTAAACGTTGATTTTCATAGAAAGGAAACCCTTCAAAGTGAATTGCGATTGCCTTAAGCACATCCCGGTCATAGATGTTAAGCGTATTTGCAACTAATCCACATGATTTCTGTATAACAAGGATAGCTTAACAACTGCGGGGAGTAGCCAAATCATTTCTTAAATAGCTAAATCTTAGGATCAAGGGAAACATACAGGTGGGATAAGACAGAGAATGGATAGCTTCTTGAACGCAATTTGTTTATTCAAGCATCAAAAGGTAAGGAAAAAAAAAGGATGGTCATGAAATATATCTGATAGAGAAAACTGTGGGAAATGAAATTTATCAGCTATATTTATAGAAAAAAACAAGATATGAAATAAAAGAATAAACAGTAAGAAAGGTTAGTCATAGTTTTTCTGGATCGTAACAAACAACTTAAAGAGCTAACAGATCAAGGATAATGGTCGGGGAAGAACACTTGTTACTCATAAAACATAGATAAGGCATTGTTATATCAAACAAGATAGACCTTTGTTAGAATAAAGAAGAAGATAATTTCGAGACTGGGTAAATTGAATATAGTTTTATTATTAAATTGGAAGATGGTTTATATAAAAATTGACAAAGTCCTTTTGGCACTTGTCAATTATTAGAAGTGGCTGAGAGAATGATTTATAATCTGAGCATATTGCAGTAAGCATGTGTGGACCATGCGTACATTGTAAGTTGTGCTATTATTTGTAAGTTGTTTTTATCATTTGTTGATGCAGACGGTACGTGTGAAAAGCATGTATGTGAGGTGACACATAATACGTATTTCGAGTTTCTTCACTAAAGTAACTCACAGAATAGTGTTTGTATTCACTACGGGATATTTGTGTATACATCAGGCATAAATGTAACCTGTCCTTAACACTAAAATGTAAATACGGTCATCGCATTGCCTGGCAGCCTGGAAAACAATCATTGATGGTATCTATAAAAATAAATTTCAGTCATAGTTGCTGTATTTACAAAAATACGGTCCAAAAAGACATTGACATTAGAGCTTCCATCCCGGCAAAAAAAAAAAACATTTAGAAGTTTGTTTAAGTACGTCTATGTCATAATATTTTCAATCAATTTTTGAAATAAAATGTACAGCTAAGACAGAAACAAAATAAATCTTTCGGACACAAAAAATGATATGACTTCTTGGTATAGGGACTAATTCTCAAATTTCTTTTTACGTCATTTTGGTACACGATTGAAACATTTTTACCTGAAAACCCCAAAACGATACGAAGAATGTTTCTAAAGAAACTTTCTAATCGGTTTGATTACTTTTATGAAAAAGTAAAAGTCGATAGGTCCTTTGTTTAAATTCAATTTTTCTTAAAAAAGTTTTATTTTTTATTTGTTTGTCAAGTGAAGAAATCATATCCCTAATGTCTTGATAACGTTTTCTCCTTCTTGCCGTGATCGATCGTATATACGTAGTATCTGATTCTGTTGACACTGCGTAAATGTTCGATATGTTAATTATCCATATAATTTGTACTAATACTTTTTATCAAATACTAATCGTTTATTTTATTCACAAGATTGATCTCATATCTTCCTTCGTACAAGTACAGGGTATTCATTTAAAAAATAACAGTAACATGAAAACTCATGAAGGCATTTTTGGCAACACTGCGGTACTATGGGTTTTTTTAATAAGAACTAAAATTTTCCACTGAATACCATGCTGGAACTAGTGTTCGAACTTTTCGAGCTTGCACCGATCTTGCGCCAGTTCGAACGAAGCTCGAACCGAGTTTTTGTACTCGAGCTTGCGCCACTTTTTTTGGGTTCGAGCGAGCTTCGACCGATGCTCGCTCGAAGCTCGCTCGGCTAAAATGTCGATAGTAGTCACTTTAAAGTTAAGGTCCTTGAAAGACTACAGATGGCATTTCCCCTTGATTTTAATCTTTTCTTCCCTTTACCATTTTTTTTTATTTATGCTCTAATAATTCCAATTAAAATGCTTTGGACTTTTATTTAATTGTACAACCAACAAACACATTTACCATAGAAAATGAAACAGTGTTGCACACTATACCCAACTAAGTCAATTTTTTACAGCAACCATAGTAACATGACTTAGCAGAATTAATGTAAACTTTCATGTTCACAAATCCAAATGTATTATAATTATAGATGCAGTAATAGTTTGATTTAATTATCCGAATTTGGTGTTAAGGCTGGTGAAAAAAAAAACTTTTCTTTTTCTTTTTCCAACTTCTATTTCAATAAATAACAATTTTATTATCATAATTTTCTGTAATTAACATCACTTTGACGTGCACTTTGTGTAATAAAAAGGGCGAGCGAGTTCGAGCTATCGTATTCGCAACCGAGCCGAGCTTAAGAAACTTCGAGCGAGCTCGAGCTGCAAAAAAACGCATCCGAGCGAGCTTCGACTGGAACACGATCGAAGCTCGCTCGAGAGTTTCGATCTTCATTCCGAACACTAGCTGGAACATGTGTGCAGTTTAAGGATGATTGATACTGTTATCGATAATGATATCTTATAGTGGCATTTCTATACAGGACTATTATATTCAAAGATGTTTTTATTTACCTTGTCACTGGCTGCCGCAATAGATAAAATTAACCTCAGATTTACATACGCAATACAAAGCGGTTTAAATGTATGTGGTTTTCGAGAGTATGATTAAGAATAAAGCGACGACTTATTTAAAAATAGCATATTAAAACTTTTGGTATATCGCCAATGAGACCACATACGACAATCATTTATATTAGGGAAGTAAGACCGTCATGATCGCAAACACGTTTTCACACCCACTATACCTGATACTTTGTGACTTTCTTCCTTTATTCAGAGTTTCTATACCCTGTCTGCCGCATTACCTCCTTTTTACTCTTTACTTTCACAAATAACGGAGTAAAACCTTAATTCCAGCGAAACTCTAGGACTTGACTTATACAACGTCACTGGAATTGCATGATATACTCTAGGAAACAAAAGTTCTTCATCCCGCACTTAGTAAATATCTCCCCATTGGATCTTATGTACGAGGTATGGCTCAACCCATGGACGTAAAGGGAATGCTTCTTTGTTTTTGACATCACACTTTCTACCATGACCTGATCAACCATATTAAACTTCTTCAAGTTTGCCTTCTTGTTATAGTACTCCGTCAATTGTTTCATGTACACTTCTATACGCCGATGTGCCTGTCGAAGAACCTGTTGTTTCGATCGCCAGATTTCTTCTAATCTGTTAGCCACGAATTCTTCATACGGGAACCTATGCTCAAACGTCACCTCTCTTTCACCACTGAGTTCCCGGAGGTGTCTTTCATATACCAAGTAGAAAGACAAATAATATTAGTACCGTCGGAACGTTCTTCGCATAAACTGTAACACCGATGGTAAACAACCGTCTCAATCTCTAGTGGACTGTAAGAGATACTTCTTGACAATTTCTTTAAGCACTCCAGTTTCTCTCTTCACCTTGCCTTACCCTTGCGGATAGAAAGGTATTCCAAATCGTAAAATGATTCCGTATGAACTAACCGTCATAGCCTTCTCTTCATCAGCGTTGAAATGTGACCCGTTATCACTTACAATAGCAATTCATATACCGTAGCGAGAAAACTACTCAATTAGGCAACAACACATGAAACTTGCACCTTTTTTGTGCATGGATAAGGTTCGATCCAACCTGCAACTTGTTCGATCAAAACTAATACCACGTATGGCCGTCGTCAGTTACCGGGAGATGATGTCAAATAAACCCTTCTGTCTTAATCGCGTCGCGTTGATAGGTACAATTGGATTCCGGGACAAATGTTTTGACATATTCTACACGAGAGGACATATATTCGAACTGACTTATAATATCCTTGCCAGTAATATTTGTATTTGATTATGACAAATGTCCTTGCTATACCTTGCTGACCTGCCAATATATGATCATGGTAATCATTTAACAGCTTATTGACCTCCGTTATCTCCATCACTTTCTCCTTCCTTAAAAAATCGATGTTCACATTTCAATAAAGAATACCTCCAGCCAGCTATAACTGTCTCGTGTGATGCCTTATTACTTTTGTTCCCTTTTAACTCCAAACTTGAGGATAGTGCCATTTTAGAAGGTACCCGACCAAAGCAACATATATGTCTAGATCCATACCGCCATTTCTTCTACATTTCCCTATTTGACTACTTCTTGATAATCTTCAGTCTCGCGTTTTTATGAAACATTCAGAGATAGATAAAAATCTGGAAGAAAATCCTCTAGCGAGGGATCTTGAGAATCGTGAACTTCCTACCTTGAAAGAGCATCTGCATTAGAGTTTAATTAACCGACCCTATAAATGATATCGAAATCGTAACCTTATAATGACGCTTGCGAACGAACCACCTTATCTGAAGCATCTTTGGTGAACTTGATCAAATATTGTTAGTACTTTTGGTCAGTGTATACCGCGAATTTATGGCCCATTAAGTATACTTTAAAAACCTGAATAAAATCTACAATCGAAACCAAATCGTTTTCATATGTGTGGTATTTGACAAAATACTACAAATGTAAAAGTAATGAGAAAAACGTATATTTTTATTAGAGGTAAAAATAAACTAAAATATCTCTGCTGCGATGATATAATTGATCCTTTTTTATATTGAACAACTTCACCTGGTAGTTGTGTTTAGTCAACCTTTCTGGTCCTGTAATAAATCTATACTCAGTTTCCCGACTTACATTAAATGAATTATACACGTTAGAATTGATTTCAAGAAACGTTGCCCTGAATCAACCGATCTGGGACACTTTTATTGTTTTGTTTAAAATACAGAATTCCAGTAAGATATTGTGTAACGGTGGCTAGTTAAAAGATACATAACGTTTTGGAGTTTAATTGGCTATGGTAGAACATGTAGTTAAGTCTGATCATTTATCCATTCTGTTGATTATTTTTATCTAAGACATGTGTAAATATGTGATCCTAAATATAGAACATCTTATCGATGTTTATATATTCAGTTCTAGAAAATAGGCATCAAATTATTCTATGCAATATTTCACTTATACACCTACAGTCGTATAAGTTGTGTTTATCCAAATATACGAAAATGGACCATTTATAGAAAAAGCCGTTCTATTCTCTTCGTTGGTATCTAATCAATCGAGAGAACTATTAATATTAAGTTTCTCTTTTTTATATTACTTGATTTGATTTGATCGGAGAAGCTTCTCTTCCCGATCGGTAAAATCGTAACTAAGAGGTATAGAATTCTATGTGAAACTGTCATTCGTATATCGATTTTAAGCCAATCATGCAATCTTTTTATATCGAAATATGTACTCATAGTAGGAGTCATTGTGGAGCAGTATACGGGTGTATGCTGTTACTCAGCATTAAAGGATGTTTTTATATCATTTTTTTTATTATTTATTCAAATTATTTGTTTATTCTCAAATAAATCATACCCAATTACGACAATATGTGGATATTCCCCTATTTTGTTTGGAAAAAGCCTTACTCCGGACGTAAATTGGTTTCTGCAAACCGAGTGGTCCGAGAATTCGTACGATAACAAACCGCCTATACCCACGTTTGATGCATCGTTATATAGAACGAATCGCCTCGTGAAATCCTGATGCGCCAAAATCGCATCAATCATCAATCACTCTTAGCATTCACAAAAACTCCGGTCTTGATCCTCACCCCAATCAAACACCACATTCTTCTTCTTCAATTGGTTCAGTGGAGCTAACACCCCCGACATATTTGGGATGTATCGCCGATAGTATTGAGTCATCCCTACGAATCTGTTCACCTCTTTCAACGGCTTAGGCCACAGCCAACTACATATCCGTTCTACCCTAGACATGTCCATGCGATAACCATGTTTTCCGACGACATGACCCAATAGCTTGGTTTCAGTATACCCAAAAAGGCACTTAGCTGTGGATAACGAATGGTTGGCTTTTGAAGCTTTACTCCGAACCTCCTCCAAATGTTGTAAATGCTCCTCAAAGGTTTCAGAGAATCCTTAACCATCGTCAATATAAATTAATAAAATTGATTTATTTTAGAAAAAAATATAGCATCCATCATTGCCTGCCATGCAGAGGGAGATCCCTTCAAACCCATAGGTAGCCTTGTCCATCGAAACTGTTCGAATGTCGTAGCAGATCCCGCCAGATCCTTCAACTCTTCAACCAACTTTAACTGCCAAAATCCCTTTAAGCAATCGAACACCGAGAAGTACTGAGCCTTAGCCAACATGGTAAACAGAATGTTGATATTCGGTATTGGATACCCTGTATCAACCATCAACTTGTTTACACCTCTATAATTGATGGTTAGTCGGTACGGATCTTTTGCTCCTGCAGTTGTCTGTCTCAACGGACTCGTAACCTCCCCCGATGGTTCTCCATGGCTTTGTTCCGTATCCTCATAGGTACTCAACGCGATCTCCTCCACTTCACCTTCTTCCATTACATTCACTTGATACGTAGATAACTCCATCGACTAGTTAACCTTGAACCTAGGTGCCCGTTTTAATTTCATTACCTTCCTTCCCCTAGGACTCCTCTGCTCGATGTCTGATGGAACCAATATTACACCTGCTGCCCAGGAACCATGGCACCTTTCCATTAGCCATAAATCCAAGAGCTGCTCAATATATTCTTTGAACCATTTATTGGCCTCATAAGGTGCAATTCGAGGAGTGACTCGAATTGGTTTCGTTTCATTTTTTAGCTGGATGACATATGGCTCGGCCTTCAACTCCGCTCCATCCTTCAGAGACATCGCAAACACCTTTTGGTGAGCTCTAAACACCTTTTTCAGAACTTCTTGATGCGTTTTTGTTAATGCAGGATTCACATCAAATTCTAGCTTCTATTGCTCCGTTATAGGGTACATGGAATAGACGTTTTGATTGGTGTATTTAGATGAGTACCCCCTAGTTCTCGCAGTGTTAACACGTACGGCCTCCAAAGCGTCATACGAGAGTTAGAAAAGAGAATCAATGATGATTGATGGGGCTAACTGTTAACACCCTTCACTTTGACTGATGTATTTTTTTGGATTAGAGATGTAACCTCATCGACATCAGTCCGTATTTTTACCAAGGTGGGATAGATTGGATAATACACAGTTTACTAATCAATGTTCCCTTCCTCAAGATTAACTTCATCTTGGTTTATTTCATTACCGACATGTCAGAAGGACCTTTTTCTCCGCGATTCATAACACTAAAAACCACAAACAAACGCATATCTGTGGAAAATGTTTCTTCAGTCTGCAGTACCATATCTCCAAAGCATGATTTATTATCTTCTCTCATTGACAGACATAGCTGATATGCATCACCGGGTTCCAGGGAGAATTTATATTGGATTTTTACATTCTTCGGCGTTTTATTTTTACTACAGGTAACTACCACTGGAATCACCAATTTCTCATTCTCTGCTTCTTCAATTTCTTTCAGAAATAAGACTGCCCCAGACACACCATTACCTTGATGTGTGGGAATCACATACCATTGATCTTGTACGTAAAAATTGAACGTACTACTATTTGAGTCTACTAAACCTCCTGTTCTTTGGATGAAATCAATGCCCAATAAACAGCGTGGTTTGGTGTTTTTCGTAACACAAAATTAACGATAGACCTCAATACCCTAGAATAGAATCTGCGTCAGGTCAACCACACCTACCGCTTCATCCATTTAACCATATCCAAAAGAAGAGTACAATGTTTTTTCAATAGAATTCTTGTACCCCAATTGCTCCACCATTTCCAGAGGTATTACCGAAAACATTACACCTGTGATGTTTTGAGATAATTGAATTTGATAAAAACTAAAGCAAAAAGAGTTAAAGAAATGAGTATCTTTTAAATCTTTATTAAAGTTATGGGGGATGGTCATCGCAAAAGGGAGGACGCTTTCTATATCAAAACATCTGGTGAATTGAATCTGGTAAAGAATGGGTATTGGCTTGTTTCTATCTTCTGAAACATAGCAATTAGAATTATATGTTCAGAAGTCAATCAATATTGTGTCTTATCGATTGGTCCGAATTACTACGTGAACATTTGTATTTGCTGATAATTCAGTAACAGATTAAAGAGAGTGATAACAACCAGTAATTATATACTTTCCAATATATAATCTGATACAAGATTTTGTTGGGAATATGAGAGTACCACTCGAATATTATAATTAACCATATTAAAGGTCATTCTATACGAGCTTTATTGGAGGAAATACGACAGCACCACCATTCAACAGGAACTCCAATTGTATTTCACAAACAACCCACAACATCGATTGCAATTTTGTTTCAAATCCCGTAGTCGTCGTGGGAATAGTTGTTAGATGATGAATTTCTGCAGGCATAAATGAACCTTCATCTATATACATGGAATTGCTGTAACTCATGTTCGTCTTCTTCCCCTTTCGAGTGGTAGTCTGAACCGCCAGTAAACCCAATGCTTGTTGGTACAACTCAGGTGAGTGACACAACAACTGTGGTATGGGAATACTTACAAAACTGCTTTAAAGTCCTTACCTCATATTAAAAGATTTCAGCTGTTTACTCTCATCTTCCATAATTATGGGTATTCCAGTAGACGTATTTCTCTACACCGAGGGAGAAACTTCACCGCGCTTGATAGCTAGTTGATTGTCCATGCGGTATATGGCCTAGACCTCTCGAGCTTTGTTTAACTTAGCTAGCAGAGCTGACCTAACCTCCACCGCACTCCTATTCTTTTTCACTTTCGAAGAAGAGCCTTCTACTTTTACTGCATTAATTTCCTTCAGGTGAGAATGACCAAGAGTTATTACTGCTACTGACAATGATTTACCCGGTGGTCCGTTATTAGGTGTTTCTAAATTAGACTCCTCTACACCTAATTTTGTAGAGCGTCTTCTTGAAAATCCTGATTTGCCGTTTTATTCTTGCACTATACACTTGTGTGATATGTAGCGTGACACAATCTACATGGTTCGGGATACTTTCTCGAGATATGACGTGAATCTTCACAGTTGAAGCAACTAACACCATGCTCATCTTCTTTGTTATCTTCAAACTTCTTTGCTTTCCTGGTTTCCAGTCTTCTCTATCGAGTCCACGCGATTCATGGTAAGAGCCAAATCATTCTTAGTCTTGTCAAACCCATCCAGCTTGTTACGTTTGGTGAGGATGAGAGATGATTGATCTGCTGATCCACTCTTCTCCGTAGAACCTCGGTCAGGACTACCCTTCCAAGGCCTATTGTTCACAATCCTTTTCTAGATACCATGCACTTGCAAAGGATGAGGCATTCTCATACCTCCTCGGTTGCTCGAACGGTACCGATGTTATTTTGACATCGTTCAGCCCAACGCAATTGATTTTAAAGGCCTTTATACTAATTTGTCTTAGTCTTATCCAGTTAATAATATGGGTTCTTTTTCATCTATTGACAGAACTTTCAAAAGTCCGGGAGTAGAACGTTTCTTATATCCTTTACAAATTGCCTTTCATACCTGCCTGATATTTCCTTTGGATCCAGTTTACGTAAAAGCGCCCTCTTGATGTTCATGAACTCCGAATGGAAGCGACATCTGCAAGCTACCCAAGAATGTATTGACAAAAATACCTCATAAACCGAATTTTCCTCCTTTGAGTTTATTTCTTTATCCATAGGATACAACGATCCGGCAAACAATATTCTGTAGGCGGATGCACCCACAAAACGCTAAGTGAGTCCTCTGGGTAATGTTGGCCGGGAATTGAAAGTCTCTGATCGTATGATGTTGATGAGAGATAAGTTTAGAAGGGTTTCAAGCTGTAGCTTGAATAGGGTATGTTTTCTATCGTGTATTTTAACCGATTATGTCACAAGAAAGTCGAAGTTTCTGATTTGTGTCTTAGTTTAATCCCTTTTGAGTCTAACTGGCTTATCCTGTGCTTCATTCCGAAAAGGCTAATAACGATCAAAAATTATAAAATTGAAAGAACTATTGTTTTATTTTTGCTGCGTAATTCGATAATAAACTCAATTGAGTTACACCAAAGATCTTTTAGCTAAGCTAAAATTCTTCACATCTGCAATAAGAGGGACGAGAAAACACGTTGCGCAGTAGTCGAAGAAGATCAGAATCCGAAACTGTTGATGTCGTAACTAAGATGACTACATTAGACATCCGCATGTTATCTAAATGGCAAGAATGGTCATTACTTCCGTCTCGAATAGAAAGTGATTAACATTCTATCAGATAAAAATAATTGAGATATAGCACATAAATGTCGTGCTCCTGCAAAAAATAAACAGACCAAAAAACTCGTTGAACTAATGACGTCATTTTTCTTGGTTGAATACGAAATAAAATAAAAGTCACTCCCGAACTCGGACGTCAATTAATCTTTTATTTTAGAAGTTCCGAAAATTTGAAAAGGCCAGCCCTCCTTCCAGGAGACCTTTAAGTCACAAGCGTTATAACCACTTTACCGATGCTTCCGATTCCGCCAAAAACTAGATCTCGAACAATGCGGCATAATGTCCACTTTTGCCTTTAGTGCTTCAAATATCGGACTGTTTTGAAGTTAATCCAACTTACTTTGTTTTACCCTTCAGAAGCCATATCGAACAGATTCTACATAACCGCTACGACGTAGACAGCAATCACAACCTGCCTTTCAATGTTGACTATTTGGGTGGTTATGCTTAATTCAATGTCGATTCCAACAACAACAATACGTAATACTCTTATGAAGTCTGTACTGATCAAGGTCATTACGTAGATTGAAGACAGAACAAAGTACTTTCGTAAAAAAAACAGATAAATGATATATTTAAACGACCGCGCCTACATTTCATATTGGAATGACTTGCGTATCATTTCAGATAGGCATATGGAAGTCAACTCAATTACCGTATGTCTTTGAACAAATATTTTATCATCATTGATTAGAATAAATTATTCACAATTATTGACGTAACGAAGCATATAATGGCTGGAAGACTACTGAAAAAAATACATATTCTGTACGATGTCATAAAATACGAAGATTTAAAAGGAAGAACGAAAGTCAAGTAGTGCATCTTTTGAAGACGAAGTATTCTTATGACTTGACATCATACCACAATCTGTTACTCATGAAACTAAAATAGCATATACAGACGTGAAATGATATTTATGTTTATATGGATAAGTGCCTGGACTGATAAAAATGATTTGTATGCTACTGGGTTTTAGTGTAGAATTCAATAAGACACCGAAGTATACCAGTTTTTTTGTATCGCTAATAACCCAAGGAAGACATTCGGAATAAAAAAAGGGAACACCCTAATAAGCAGATTTAATTATCTGGACATTGAGGTTGATAGATGTTCATCAATGTTTCAGAACGACGATGTGAGACGTCAAAAAATTATATTCTAAATTTTGCGACTGGAGATAGAATTAGCTTTGAAGAAGCCGTTGTCGTGTGTTGAAGTAAAAACGCTATTGGGTGGTTCTTTAACAATTTGGCACAACGGTTACGCTGTCTTCGTAGAGTATCATAGAAAAGAAACAATTGACCGTCTTATGTACCATGGTTTGTCTTCTAAATTGTTATTATTTTTTAACATATGTCTTGTTATCCTTATATACTGTTTTCGAAATTATTATAACCGGACGGACCGTCATATTATTCAAACAATTTATTTTTATAATTTAGTGTTATTTGATGACCTCTGGTTTTCCCTTATACTGTAGACTGATACAGTGCTATCTCTACATTATTAACTATTTATACTTCGTAACTGACGGGGAAAAATGGTTTTTATATTGATTTCATCTTTACGCCAATAGGTTATAAAACAATGACATCAAATCTACGGATAATACGCTATGATAAACTAGCAAAGCTATAGCGACATCAAAGATACAACGGTGTATCTATGCTAATACCAATTGTGGTATATGCTTAACAAAAAATGTCAAAGTAAGATGTATAAAATATTACATCACAAGGCAGATTTAGTACTTCTAAAAGATGCTTAAAATTTCGTTTAAAACAAAGAGAGTTGAGAAGACTTAAGATTTATTCGAACATGAATGTCACGATCATGATACACCATTTGCCAAAATTATGCTTAATGAGTAACCAGCATTCAAAATCAATATTTATCCTTGATCAGTCAGCTCTTTAAATCCCTTGTCATGATCCAAATAAGCTATGACTAATTTTGTCATTGGTTATTCTTTTGTTTAATTTCTAGTTTTCCTTTTCTTTAAACATTGCTCATTAATTTCACTTTTTCCAGTTTTTTTTATCAGATATATTTCATAATTATCTTCTATTTTTTTCTTTTATTCATAAATACAAAACCTGACTTCCAAGATGCCATTCATTCTCTATCTTGTTCTGCTTGTCTCGGTCTTCCTCGATCCTGACAAAGACTAAATTAGTGGCTATGTAAGACTTTTGTGCATTTTTGATTAACTAATGATAACTTCAAGAAAGGACTATATATATTAACACACCAGACAGTCTTGTATAGATATAGTCGGAAGTTTTATTTACGAATAAAGACAGTTATCGCCAGTTTCAAACTACTGCTGTAGTTAATTTAAAATTTTACTTTACATTAAACCACAACAAAAGTTTGCAATACTTAAATCATTTGTATTGGTATAGATCTGATATAATAACAAGAACTACCTAAACAAATAGTTTGTAAGATGGAAAATTGAAGTTGCATAGTAGCAGATTAGAAAATTCTCCAATTGATGAAAACTAACACAAAAACATTTGTTCATGGAAATTATAACAGTATGGCCACCAAATTAAAACTTTTGTAATAATCATTTTCTTAAATGTTTACATAAAAATCTAAAGTTTCTAATGAAGATATCGCCGAACATCCGATCACATTAAGCCTTACAATAGTATATATAACCGTTCAAAACTCAATACTTTTTTGCCAAATAAATTTTTTTATTTTGTCCGGAAGACAACCTCAAATTCTTCTCTTCTTCTTAATGTGTTCCTCCTCGGAACGACAGAGGAGCACAGAAGGCCATCTTCTTTTTTCGGCCAATTGCCGCGAGCGGCGAGGACAAGCAGAGAGTTGCCAAGAAGGCGAAGAAACAATCCTGACAGGGGCAGGGCGGGCAGGTAAAAAAAGCACCCGGGGCGAAGGTCGGCAAAGGCCACCCCAGATTGGGCGCCGAGCAGCTCGCCAACGACCCCGGCGTACGACCCACGAAGGGCGAGGAAAGGAAACGCGACAGAAACCAATTCTTCTTCGTTTCGTGTTCTTTTCTTCTTCCGAAGAACACGAAGAAACGGAAAACAACTTTCTTTTTGGGAAAAGACCCAAAGGACGCCAGCTAGATTCTGCCAAAGCAGAGGAGGGGTAAAACACGTAGTTGTAACTAAAAAGAGATAAGATCATAATTAGGAATGGTGGAAGTCATTAATTACATGATTTCATTTGACATCTTCGTGATGTCCCAATGCCAATAAAGCCGTTTACTTACTTTTTAAAAAAAAACATATTTAATATTTGTTTCGAATGAAAAAATAAAGAAATAAAAACCAACACTGATTATCTCCTGTAGTCGAAAAATAAAAAAGTAAGCCTACTGATGACGTCGTCTTTTGTATGAAAGACCCACACAAGTTTAAGCCACATCGGAAGTACTTGAGACCAAAATGAAATGTAGATCTCTCAGATTAAGTTATGAATCAGAATCTTTTAAATGACTTTAAGGATACTTTCAATTACCACAATAGATTAAACCTGACCTGTCTAATTTAAAATGAATTCTCCAACTTAAAGTCAACAATTGTAAATATTCCAGTTACATTTTGCTCATCTATTTCACTGAAAAAGAAAGAAAGAACTGAACATAACGGCGAATTTTGACAACGATGAAGCAACTAGATCAAACTTCTGAATGAGTGAATTTTTAAACATGATGATTTAAAGGATGCCCATGTCATTAGCATCTCAAGTAGTGTTCGGAATGAAGATCGAAACTCTCGAGCAAGCTTCGATCGTGTTCCAGTCGAAGCTCGCTCGGATGCGTTATTTTGCAGCTCGAGCTCGCTCGAAGTTTCTTAAGCTCAGCTCGGTTGCGAATACAATAGCTCGAACTCGCTCGCCCTTTTTATTACACAAAGTGCACGTCAAAGTGATGTTAATTACAGAAAATTATGAAATAGAAGTTGGAAAAAGAAAAATTTTTTTTTTCACCAGCCTTAACCCCAAATTCGGATAATTAAATCAAACTATTACTGCGTCTATAATTATAATACATTTGGATTTGTGAACATGAAAGTTTAAATTAATTCAGCTACGTCATGTTACTATGGTTGCTGTAAAAAATTGGCTTAGTTGGGTATAGTGTGCAACACTGTTTTATTTTCTATGGTAAATGTGTTTGCTGGTTGTACAATTAAATAAAAGTCCAAAGCATTTTAATTGGAATTATTAGAGCATAAATAAAAAAAAAATGGTAAAGGGAAGAAAAGATTAAAATCAAGGGGAAATGCCATCTGTAGTCTTTAAAGGACCTTAACTTTAAAGTGACTACTATCGACATTTTAGCCGAGCGAGCTTCGAGCGAGCATCCGTCGAAGCTCGCTCGAACCCAAAAAAAGTGGCGCAAGCTCGAGTACTGTCGTGATCGAGGCTATATACTTAATATATGACTCTATCTACACTTCTTAAATCTTCCATTTGATAATCCTAAATATAATTCTTATTGGTACTTTATATTAAATACTGATCATTTACTTTATGTACAGGCTTGATCTCATATCATCCTTCATACAAGTATAAGGCATACATTTAAATAAAAACATGAATATGAAAACATATGAAGGTTACATCAGCCACGTTGCGGTGCCACAGCTATTATTAATAAGAACTACATTTTCCCCTGAATGTTGTGCTACAAGACATACACAGTTTAAGAATGAATGTTATTGTTATTGTTATTGACATCTCATTATGGTCTTTCTATATGGGATCATTACATCCGTGTATTATCTGGATAAATCTACCCACAACCGTCATCAGCCCATCTGTGATCAATGTCTGAAATAATGTGTATATAAAGACCCCCTTTTATTTGTTTAATAAAGTTTAGTTTATTTTTGCAGTTTGATAATTTTACTTTGTTAAATTTCACATTTTATTCTTAATTCGCTATTATCACTCTCGAATTTCTCAAGTACAAAAACTCGGTTCGAGCTTCGTTCGAACTGGTGCAAGATCGGAGCAAGCTCGAAAAGTTCGAACACTAATCTCAAGCTGTTATTCATGTAATGATAGTAGACAACCCAGCAGTGTTCAGAATCTAATCTCGAACCAGGTTCATGTTAAAACGTCTAAAATGTTCATAATATATGGAGTTTGTAAATTTACTGCCAATAACAATGTCCGAAATATAAAATGTGTCCCCGAAAAGTGCGTATTCTGGACCGGTCGAGAATACGAGTCTGTTCTTGAAAATACATCTTCCAAAATAAAACCAGTAGCGAACAAACCTAGGCCTAACTGACATTGAAGACTTTCAAATATCACTAGGAGTATCTGGTTTTTTAGTATTCAATAGAGTCATAATGCTACGGTAGGTTAAAGTCGAGTAATAATTTGTAAAGCTTTCACGATTCGGGTGAGTATTCGACCACATACATCTTAACAAGTAAAACATTAAAACCTTAATTAATTTTTGTTAGATAGGTCAAAGCTCTAAGAAGAAATCGATTATTACCGTTAAAGCTCTTATGTTTTGTACGACCTTATGGCTCGTGAGGTGGTTAGCTGTATTTTCTGATATATTCAAATTGACGTCGATACGAACTGTAATTTAACATTTTTAACAAGACACTTGCAGTACGCGACAAGGCTTTCTAAGTCAATCCGATAAACTTTACAAATATAAACTCTAAAAAACAACTTTGATACCAAGTATGATCAACATTTCTATATATTTTACACTTCTCTGCAGAAACACTTGACAGCATTAATACGATTTAGAGAAAAACGAATAGAAACTGTAAAGGCAAAGGAGGTGGTAAAGCAGGTGTTGCACATACGTTCATAGGATGCATACATTTCAGATTTATGCAATAGATTTTATGATCCGACGTTTGGCTGGGTGCAGTTGGGCTATATCCGTGTTGTGAAATAGAAAAAGAAAAGGGCAAGTACTGTTACGACTAAGTCGTCTCTAATTTTTATTTTAAAGAAGATAGAGATAATTCTACAAAACTATCAAGGGGTAGTTATATACAATTTGAAAGGTATCAAGAGGGGGGTATTGACAGTGTCCAGCACCGGTGATTCCATAACAAGCAAAACCTTGACAGTCATCACTTAATTGACGGTTCTACTAAATATGGGAAAAGAAGGCAGAAGGAAGAAGGAGAGACCAAAGCCACGTAACAGGTTTATGATTTACCAAACTTAGTTTACCGAGGTCAAGAAATAAATAAATATAAAGAAGTAAATAAACAATTATACAAACAATAGCACTTATTTCCATATACCTATGGCTCAGGTCCTATGAGACTCTTCGCTCGATACACGTTACACAGCATTGTTTTATTGATAGAGGTAAATTGTGGAACAACTAATTCCCACCAGTGTGATTATATGGAATCATGTCCTTATTGGATCATCTCCGATAGTTCTACTCTAGGTGTGTTATTATGTTATCCTCAACAATCCGGATAACCAGTGGGATAGCTAAAATTGAAAATGCCGGAAAACCTGAGGAGCCTTACAGTTGTTATTAAACACTTAATATATTTTGCCTTTATATCCAAGATTTGAAACGAATGTAGTTGAAGTGTAATTTAAGAAAGTTTCAGATGGTTTTAATAGAAACTCGTCTAATACCTATTCAGAATACATTTAGATACACGGATCCTATGCCTAGCTGACGTTTATAGTTAAGCAAGAAGAAAAAACGTTGTATTAAGACAGTAAAATCATTCAATAACATCTGTAGAATTGCGACATAAAACTCATACTATGTTTAAGATATAATATTTTTTATAACATTGATTATGAAAGCCGATATCATGATTAATAACGTGGTTTCCAATTGGTCACTGTTATTTCTGTTACATGACATGTTATTATGGCATTTAAAACGATTCGTTCTTTTATCCTATTTAGAATAAAAACAACGATAAATATCGACCGTCGTTGGAATTTCTCGCTTTCTTGAAGCGATTGAAAATTTCTGTGTGGAGATTGTTTGTTTGCTAATTACGTACTCCAATAAAGCACTTTTAATCAGTTTCCAATACGATTTTCAATAGTAGACGTTAATGAAAAACATCTTTAGAAAAGAAAGGGTCATCGAGAGAATTCTAAAAAATAAAGTATCATTTTAAATTTCTTGACAGCCAACCCAAACTACATGGGATCATTACATCCGAGTATTATCTGGATGAATCTACCCACGACCGTCATCAGCCCATCTGTGATCAATGTCAGAAATAATGTGTATATAAAGACCCCCTTTTATTTGTTTAATAAAGCCTTAGTTAATTTTTGCAAGTTTGATAATTTTCTTGTTTTTATTTTTATAAATCTACACGGATTTCCACAGTTGTAACTATTATGATGTCATATTGCTGTTGTGTTCTAGTATTTTTCCGTTTTGCGGCTTTGAAGATATATGAGATGGGAAAATCGTAATCATTTTTCTTACAAACCTAACGTTTCTGAGCAAAAAAACGATAAACTAAATTAAAGGGTTTTTTATTTGCGATCTTAGGTCTTTACAAAGTGGATCATCAAATGATACTTGCTGTAAATAGTAACGAAGGTAATAATTGGTTATGCCACTTTCTGATGCATAAAAAAAATAGTGAAAATGTATTGATAAAATATAAACATGTTTGCTTTTAATTATTTTTAGCTAGATGGCAAAGCAGTGACTGCAAATTGAAGAAATGAATATTATGTCAAAATGGTTTGTGCAAATAAATATATCAACGTGCCATATGACCAAAACAAAATAAGGATTAACAACGAATAAACGATATTTTTAAATAAGGAAGTTTTTAGGCAAAGTTTTAAATTTTATATTAGATCCCATCTATTACAATCGTCAAGCATTGAAGAACTGTCATAGCTAATCTCGCATTGTACGTACGACGTTAAATTAATTGAACTGTAGAGTCGACTAAACAAAAAAAGTCATGGAAAAAGTGCCAGACTCTTTTAATGTAACCGTTAACACTTATTAATAGAGTCACATCGTGATTTTAATGCGTTGTACGAACTTCATAGCCAGTATACCCTCGCTTCTAACGCAGACCTCTAATCTCGCTAAAACTCAGGAGTTTTCATTGTCAAAAAAAATCAGCGCATAAACGAACCGCGTATTTGCATTCACCCGAGATACCCATGACTTCATCCCATGCGCCAAATTTCCCTGATGAACTAACTTATCTTACGTATTTGTTGTACTTTAACGCATCTTCAAAACCCTAACAATTGACAAATCCATACAAACCTACAACAAAGGATGCCAAGTGCACTTTGAACTTAATTTATCGTTTAAAGGCCGAACTGTTGTTCTCAGTACCCTACTCCCATTAAACGTAAGGCCCATGCTTCGTAAAGATCCTCTAACAGAAGATCAAATTGATTGCTGACCTAGAATCTCCAGTTCTTTTTTTGAAAGCATCAAGGTTTCCAAGAATCCCATACGGAAATTCGTTCCTCACAAAACAAAACGCCGTGTTCGTAATGTAGATCCTTTATTTCAACAGGTTGGGCTACAGTGTCGTTGGCTAGCTGATTTGATTATTGCTCCCACAACGCTACTACAGCGGGAATATTTTAATCAATTAATTTTTTGGCGGTGGTATCCGCATTTTTTCATACGGCCTCTTTCTTACCGCATCTGGTCGTACCTCCTCTTACGTCTGGTGACTTCTATTTTGAAATGAAAGAAAGAAATTTCGTCCGTTAACAACACAATTGACAGAGAATTGTTATTTATTTAATAGGTTTCTTACCTACATACAACTATCCTCAGTCGGAGTTGTAATGAGCTATGTTTTTGTAACATGTCTCAACATTAATTGACATTTCAGTTGCAACATACCAATTATTCCGGCCTCTGAGTAAATATTTTCTGTGATTATTTCTCGCAATTCCGCTTTTATGTCTAAATTCTTGGTAGTTTATTTCTTCTTCATCGAACCCAATAACCATATCATTCGAAAGTGATCTGATCGTCAAACTACATTTCTTGAGGAACATCGTAAATTTTAGGTTACCGTTGCCAATGGGTATATGCAATATATTGGTAGTTTTTGAAGTTTACTGGGTATTAGTATAGAGAGGAATGGGTCTACTAATCTGCATCAATTTCTTAAGACTTATGTTTCCCAATAGATTCTCGCTTTAGATCAAACAGAACAATTGGGAGGTCTATTGTGTGGTTTCTTGTTCCCTCCCAAACCGACTACCATGTGTAGTATAAGAAATGGAAAACCTATAAGGATAGACCTCTTTCCACAAGAGTTTATACAGTATGGTATCTGGCGATTTACCACAAGTGCCCCGCAATTGCATTATACACAACATCATCTCCAATTCTTACCCATCCTAGACATATTCTCATTGTCCTCAAAATGTAGAAACATTCACTTAAATACTGTATGATTACCCAAGTAATTATTCCGTCTGGATCCGTTGTTTATGACCCTTTATCAAGTTTTCCTAGTAGAATCTGGTAATAAGCTGAGTATACTTGTTTTGCATGACTAAACCGACTTCCCAAACAAAGAATCTAAAGGCGCCACTTATTTAGTTTGCATGCCCATGGGTGGTTGAACTTTACTTGCGATCAGGTCATCTTCTTCCAATCTAGTTTTTGACAATCCACCTTTCAGTACCAACACTATACTTCCGCGGTGTATTTTAATTCTATGGCCATTACAATTGTCTAAACCAACTAATTAACAGTATATTACCTAATTTTAAAGCTAACTCGACAGTTTATGTTAATCTAATTGTCATACGTCGGTGTTTTGCAGTGTCCAAGACAATTGTTGTCCTGATTGTAATAATCTCATCCACTTTTTAGTTTTAAGGGGACATTAGATAAATTTTTGAAAATCCATTTCGCTTCATCTCCTGCCAAAAGAAATACTCATCTGTGCGTATAAAATTGTTACGATCAATGACATTTGGAAACCTTTTAACGGAATTATAGGTGAAAATATATTTGTTACAGTTTAAATCAAAATGAAAACGAGTCTTGTTTCACGGGCGTAAGTAACCGACGGTAACAGCGATCAAAACCATTTTTTGAACAGGAGCGAGTATGAAGGTAGTTGATGTAGGTGTATTTTAATATTTCTTTTATTTAAACCTAGATTCAAAGGCTTAATAAGTTGACAAACATGTAGCTCATCGCACGCATTGGGTTGTGGTTGTTGTGTTAATCCTCATTGACAATGAACGAAATTGAGTTTTTAAAAAAATCACTTTTCCCATGAAACAGCAAATTGACATGTGATGACAATTGCTCGTCTATGTAGCAATCGTCCGCTTTATTCTTAATACATATTTTTGTTGATAACTACATGACAGTGGTTTCAATTGCGGAATCAGCTTTTACCCTTTTCAAACCAAAAAAAGTTCGACCTCGCTACGAAAATTTTAATTCCTCCGAAAGGTTATTCATAATTATAACGGTGTATTCGATGTTTCTACCGGGCATAACCAATACATGATCTACCGTGACTTAAATTTCTTCAATTTTAGTCACGTTATCAGTTCCCATGTATTTTTTTTTAAAAAAATAGGATCGAACCGACTAGATTGTTTTTGGTTGCTTTTTTTTTTCATCAAAAGTATTTTTTTTAAAAAAATGTTTCAAAACGTTGTTTCGTTCCGGTACGTATTGAAAGCAACTGTCATTTCAACAGATTACCCATGGCTGATGTCACAATTGTACTAATTACTGAAAAAACTACATCTTTATCTAGTCTCTTCTCGCATTCTTCTGCTCTCTTGGTGAGAAAAAGAAAACTCTTTTCGGTACTCTTAGCTCTTCGGAGCAAGAGAAACCCAGTAAGAGAAAAAAAGTCGCTTCCGCTCCCGCTGTTGCTCGCCGTGTCCGCTTGTGCGTGACACGACGACGTCGTTTAGGCCCTCGTCGTCGTCTACCTTCTGCGTTCTTCCCTCGTTGTCCTGTTATTGCGTTGTGCGCTGTGCCTTCTCCCTTCTGTTTTCCCGTTGGGGCTTCCCCTCGGATAAGGGTATCCGAAAAGCGAAAACGCTTTTCGGTGTTCATATCCCCATCCGAGGTGGAACGCCCTATTAAAAAAATAAAATTTTAATTTTTACTGCGTTCCAATTTCCATTAAAGGTATTTAGTTTTGTCATATAATGGTGCATCAAAAAGCATCTGTTTTAAAGGTATTTGTGATTTTCATCACAAACTTATGATTGCATCTCATAACTTTTTTAGTGTTATTTGTCTATCTATTGACAATCTTGTTTTCTCGCCCAACAGAAATAAAATATTACTTCTAGGTCTGATTTATGTATATGCTTAATGTCGGCTTCATTCCATTTTGTTTTATCTGATTATTTCGATCTAATCTCCGCAATAGTTTTAAAGCATTTCTCAGCCGTATTCGCTCTTCCTAGCCGTTTTAAAAAATATTCTTTCGGTAACATCATCCGAGAGCGTTTAGAAAAAAAGTCGAGTATCTGCACATTTGGTAATATTTTTCAGAAGACGTTGTTATAGATGAAAAAATACTATACCAAGTTGGGTTCGTGAAATATCCACTTTATAAACCGCTGATGATGTAGGAAAATTGGACTTTCCCTTGCGGTGATGATAATTTATTGTCACCGCTTTCTTCTTGTCCGTGCAGTTAAATTGACCTTCAGGAGTACTCTTTTTGGATAATTAGAACCAGTTCAACTATGGCTACCTCTTGTGGTTTTTTAATCCCGTTAGACTTGTTTTTATCGGGTGTGTCTTTCCTTAGTTCTTCTGCTAGTCACAATAGACAAACAAATGGTAGTTATTTATTGTCCCTACGTTTGTCTTCAGTCGGAACATTGAACTTGAACTAGCCGTCGAATTGCAAACGCAAGATTTCTTAAGACGTTGTACTGATACTAAACGGATGTAACTAGCGTCTCATTGGTGTTATGAACCTGACACATATAGTGTTTAGAAAGTTAAAAATTTTCTTAATGAATTGTAGATACTGTATACCTTTTAATTATTAGAATCTTCAACGAAGGTGTATTGAACATTTTTTAATAGATCGCATTCCGCTTTTCATAGGAAAAAGAATTGCGAAAAAACGAGCGAAGTTTCAGAATCATAATGAATTAGACAATGCATGTCATCAGAAATAGATCTTTTTGGAGAATTTAGTGTGTCACAAGCACGCTGGAAGTATGGCAGAAAAATGTCATCGATGGAAAAGAGCTCTTTCTCATATTCTGCTGATTGACATAAACAAAATAAGAGTCTTTTTATAAAGTATATGTATGTATTGCAGGTATTGTTAAGTTTGGTATAGTTGTATTTAGGTGTTATTCTTACCATTTTTCTTTTAAAATAAGGCTTCAAAAATAGATTTTAAGTGTTTCTTAAACATGTCTAATTTTTCCGTCCGGAATTGAACGAGTTTTCTGTTCCCTTGAGAAATTCCAGAGATAAAACAACGAATTAAGAATAAACTAAAGAAAGTTGACGAAGTAAAATTATCAAACTGCAAAAATAAACTAAAGTCTTTATTATACAATAAATTGAGTTCTTTATATACATATTCAGTGCTGGCTGAATATCAATCCTTAAAGTGAAACCTGTCAAATATACAATAGGCGTATTGTCAATTAAAGATTGAGCATCTCATGGTACCTTCGAGAATCTTGTTATTGACGAGCGATCATATCATTGGATTATATTATCTGGAATAAATGTATGACTATTGTTTTCTATGTATTGATGAGTAATCAATGCGTAGTAAATAGAGTGTAATAGCATGTATTTGATTTAAAGAGTAATGCAATAATGATTTATAGAAAGGTTATCAAATAAGAAAGAAAGAATTGATGATACAGTTATATCTGTATATAAGCTCGATCACAGCACACGTACTAATCGTGGATCTGTAGCCCGAAATGCCAACTTAGTTCGAGTAAATGAAGACCAAATCAGGCGCATAGGTAAATGGAACAATACAACCATGAACGGTGCTTATTGGACTGGATTTTCAAGAGAAGTAATGAGTGTAATAGCCTGATTCACTGTTCGGCAGGGTTCGTTAAAAACAAATCATTCTTTTTGTATTAAATTAACCATTTCAAAATCAGGTCAATTTATTTACCAAGAACTAGTGTTGATTCAACTGACTCTTTTTGCAAAATGATCTTTCCTGATCTGGACGTATGGCACGATAGATTCACAGCAAAGCAAGCAAACCCAAACAACGGCGACGAAATGGAAGTAACAGTTGCAGCAAAAACTTTCTTTGGACTTATGTTTATGTTAAGAAAACGAATATTTCAAGATGCTGTTTTTATGATGGAGAAATTTCCTACTCACCCACTTTGGCAAAATAGTCTTTTTTCGCATTAATTGTTTACAGCCCAGAAGGAGTAAGTTTAGATTTATGCAATAATTAATATGATTTAATGTATTCCCAAAAAACTTGTTTCTACAGGCGCATGCTCATCGTCGCCCAAGAAGACAATGATCCTGTCAAATCTTTGTTGCAACGGTGCATGCCAATTTTAGAAGACAAAATTAAGTACATGCACCATGATCTTTCGACACGATTAGATACACAATCGGCATCTCAAAAAAAGATTAATGATTATATTACCAGATTTGTCACAAGCCAAGCGAGTATAAGCCTGAACATTAGTCTACCTGGAGGATCAGGGGAAAATCAGGGTAGAACAAATATCACTACAACAGCCATACCTCAAGAAAGCCAACACAACTCATTTTCCGGCAGTAATACGATGGATCAATCACAGACTTTTTATGGCAATAATAACAGTAATGTTCCAACCTGATATCGTAAGAGTCGAGGAATTGTTTCCCTCGCTAACTCGTAGCTTGAACGGACAGAGGGTCTATGTGGCGGTCATGCAATTAAGGATATGGAGAGAAGATTGGGTAACAGATGGAGAAAGGAAGAAAAAGAAAAAACGTTTTTTAACAGACTCCGATTAAAAATAAACGAAATGGAACGACGAGCAAGACAAAACAATATCACTACCAGAACAGCTGTAGACATTGCAAAAAAAAGGAGATCACAAAAGGGACATTCACTACACTCGCTGTCAAAATATACTAACAAGATATTCTGAAACAAACGGCATTGCTCACCCAATCCAAATGTTAGAGTGGCTTTTTGTTTGTTTTTTTTTGTCACATATAATAAAAAACCTATTTCTTTATTTTTCTGTTCTCCTCATTGTCAAATGCATAAGGCATGTCAACATTACTATTCCCATCAAGTGTTTATTTCAAAGAGAGTAACAACTTATCACTTTAGGAGAGCATGATATGCAAATAATTAGATCAAGTTATCAGGTCACATTCTGGGGACTTGATCCGTAAATAAGTGCAGTTATTTACGGTAATTTTTTCAAATAATTCAGTCGATTACCGCTCTGAGTTCCAATTAGGTGGGAACTTTTGAGACTTTTCAGGACTTTGAACAAAGATAATGTCAATTATTATGGATTATCATGGTGTAACGTAATTCGACTACGGTAAATATGGATAAAACCACAAGACTTTGATGTTCGTCATCGTCACTGTAGATGAACTTAGAGCCTACAAAAACTGTCCTCTTCCACCAACTTGTTACAATTACATATACTGAGAAAGGAGACACCTAGTAACCACAATTACTAATGTAGTACACTATTCCAGGATACAGTAATCGGTTGAAGAGTTTAATTGGGAAAAGACAATATTCTTGTAGATGAAATTTAAGCAACTCTACTATTTTTTTCAATATGTTTACACAGTCCCGACAGGGATTAGTAAACAAAATCAAACTAACAGAAACTGATGGTAAATAGAAAGAACGATATTATGTCAGCAATTAAAAAAAACAACCTAACAGCTGTCTAGGAACAATATTCTTTGTTGTTGAAGATTTTTCGGGAAGATTAGCCAATGCCGTCATCCCTCAGAAAGAAGTAGTAACAACACGAGCGAGACTGAACCCAGAATGAATAGCTTATTAAAAGCAGTTTTTTCTTCGGAAAAAGGATGGTAATAGAACAAAAAATATCTATGAAATATATCTCGAAAAGAATGGAAGTTTATAATCTATATCTATACAGAAAGAAAACAAGAAATGAAATAAAAGAATAGGCAATGGCAAAGGTTGTTTATAACTTATGCGAATTATGCCAAAGGAAATAAAAAGCTGACAGATATAGGTTAAAGTTTGAGTATAAAATTGAATTCCGAATAAAAAATAATAGGGGCATAAAAGGTGAGATGATCATTGCAATATCATTGATTTTTGTTTTAAACGCATTTCGAAGGGACTAGAAGAACTTCGTTCGCAAAGATGGTTAGGAAGAGCAAAAAGCAACTGATATATTTTCCCTGTAATCTATTGGAAAAATCAGGTGCCACTAATCCAGTCAATTCAAAACAAAAGAAGAAAACCCAATACAATTAAAAAAAAATTTACAAGCGGCTTAAAGATATTCTTGTATATAACGCGATAAAAGGGACCCCGATAATATACTGAAAATACTATTAAACTCCGTGATAATTCTTATTAACGGTTTAACTGGAATACAGTTCTTATCATAAAACTCAAACATTGGTTGGGCAAATTTAAATAAACAACTAAATTAAAATTTTATTTTTTTAGTTGGGCGTTCCACCTCGGATGTTGAGATGGAGACAGAAAAGCGTTTTCGCTTTTCTGACTCCTTCATCCGAGGGGAAGCCACAACAGGAAAGGACAAGGGAGAAAGAGGGCCACACGCAGGAGCCAAGGGAGGACGAAGACGGACACCCGCAGGACGAAGACGACGAGCACGAGAACGACGTGGCGGTGCCACACAGAGGCGGACACGACGACCAATAGCAGCAGGAGAAAACAGTTTTTGTTTTTTCGTGGTTCTCTCTAGCTCCGAAGAGCAGAGAGAAACCAAAAATAGCTTTCGTTTTCTCACGGGGAGAGAAGCAGAACGAGGAAAAAGCCTAATAAAAAAACGACAAACGAGGATTAAAATTAAATTTCTTTAGAAATTAGTCCAATGGCGACATTAGCCATTGGTAATTTATCGAAAGAGTAAAAGTATCGAATACTTACGAGAAGAAAGCAACAGCTTGTAACATTATTTTTTTTAAAAAAACTCGGTTGGGACAGGAAAGAAAGGAAGGAAAATAACCTTCCGGATTATAACGACTTTTAAATAAAAGAAAGCCGTGTGACCTGATGACGTAATATATTCCATGTGAAAGTATTTTTAATATGTAACGATTAATTTATCAAGTTATTTTCAGTTTTTACCATTCTTTTTAACATATAAAAATAACAATGACCTGCTGAAAGAGAATCTAATTGTGAAAATATTGGTCAACAATTAGCTTTATGTGTCATTAAGAACAGTAATTTCGTTTGTTATGTCCAAACATGGGTCATAATTAATACGCTAGTTCACCAGGGGATAAAACAACTTCATAACCATACGATGGAGAAATACTTTTTTCCGACGGAAAATGTCATTTACATTGTAGAACAATACTAATTCAACGAATAGCCGTTCATCGCTGCAAGTAACATTTCAGACCCACAAACATTTTAGAAAGCTTTCAATGTATTACGCAAGGGAATATAACTAAACAAGTTTAATTTGGGGCTTGTCCAAATGATACAAAATATTCGTTATCTGTCTACTCATAAACAATTTGAGCTGCTGAATGAACCCAAATTGTTTGTGGAATAGTTCAAAATAAAAAGGTAGAAAATCATGTTCATAATAGAGCAAGTAATGAACTGAGACTCAATAATCCGACATTATAAGATAGATACTTTGTCATGATAAAAATAAGGATCGATTTTATATTCAATTAATACTTCAAGATTTTTCCTTCGCAGATCGAATGGGCTATTTCATCGCAAACTGGAAAATGTTGAAATTAGATTTTCAAATCTCTTTCGCTCAAAACCTTGCATATTGTTATATACAAGTTGCCATTCGACCCTTATTCCGCACTTCTAGTGTATTAAAATTTATTCAATCAATAGCAGGATCGTGATCTAATTATCAAAACCAATTTATGATAAACTAGAATCGCCGGCAGCTAGTCGAGCAATCCAGGAACTATTACGAAATATGTTTTCCGTTTCACATATGAAGGAGCTGATATTGTGTCGAACAAGCAACAGTTTCTTCGTGGATCTTTAGCAAGAATAGCCAACTTAGCTGGATTAAATGAAGATCTAATCTGGTGCTTTAGTTGATGGAAAAACACAACTATTAACGGTACTTATTTGACTGGATTACCAAGAGGAGTAATGAGGACGGTGAAATAAATCTCTGTTCAACAAGGTTTGTTAAAAACATATCTTTATTTCTCTAAATACTAACCATTTTAAAATCAGGAAAATTTTATCTACCAGCAGCTATTGTTTGTCCAACTGAATCACTTCGCAAAAGGATTTTTCCAGATCTTAACGCAACGCACGATAGATTGACAATAAAGCAAGCAAACCTTAACAACGACGATGTAATGGAAATAACAGTTGCAGCAAAAGTATTTTTTGTACCTACGTTTATGTTAAGATGAACATTCATACAGTAGTCGCTCGATTTAAGGGTGTTCGATTTAAGGGTATTTTCTATTTAAGGGTGGATTTTGTAAAAACATCTTCCGTCCCCAGCAGTAACACCACTAAACCACTATTCTATTTAAGGGTGAGATTCCAATTCCCCATACCCTTAAATCGAACGATTTGACAGTGTATTTTTGACTTTTTTCTAACTTTTTGATCAAATATATTGAATGTCCGAATAAAAATAAATATTTCGCAGTAATGATCATATTTCATGGTTAAAAATGGCGTAGTGACTTCTGTTTAAAATAGTCACGCTTTTCGATTTAAGGGTATTTTCTATTTAAGGGTGAGATTTCCGAAATTTTTGGTCACCCTTAAATCGAGCGACTACTGTACAAGATGCGATTTTTAAGATTGACAACTGTCCTACTCACCCACTTTGGCAAATTAGTCTGTTTCCGCATGAAATATTTACAGACTACAGGGAGTAAGTTCAGATTAATGCAACGATTAATATGATATAATGTACTTTTAAAACACGTTTCTCTACAGGCGCGTGCTCATCGTTGCTCAAGAATATAACGATCCTGTGAATTATTTAATGCAACGGTGCATGTCAATTTTAGAAGACAAAATTTAATTGGATGCATAATGATCTTTCGACACGATTAGATTCACAATCAGGATCTCAGAAAAATATTATAGATTATATTACAAGACTTGGAACAGGCGAAGCGAGTATAAGCCAGAGCATACGTTTGGCTGGAGGATCAGTGGAAGATCAGGATGCAACAAATATTCTTAAAACAGTCATACCTAAACAAAGCGAACCCCGTTTATTTGACGGCAGTTATGCGATGGATCTTTCAAAGACTTTTCACAGCAATATCAACAGTATGTTGGGCCCTGTTGTGGTATGAGTCGAGGAATTGCTTTTGTCATTGATTTTTGGCATGAATGAACAGAGGGTCTATATGGCCCTTATGCGGTTAAGGATTAAGAAAGAAGATTGGGTACCGGATGGAGAAAACAAGTAGCAGAATCAAGGTTTTTTAACGGACGTTGATTAATAATAACAAAAATTGAACCGTATGGAAGGCAAAACAATGTAACTCCCACAACAGCAGTACACATTGTAGAAAGAAGGAGATCGCGAAAATGATATCCATTACACTGGCTGTCTAAAAATATTAACAATATATCAGAAACCCAGAGCATTGCTGACCGAAGTCAAAAATTAGGATAGTTCTTTCTTCTTTTGTCACATATAATAAAACACATATTTTGTTATTTTTCTGTTCTCGGCATTGCCAAATTCTTAAGGCATGTCAACATTACTATTTTCACCAATTTCTAATTCAAAGAAAGTAACAAGAGATGACATTAGGATAGCATAATATGCCAATAATGAAATCAAGTTATCAGGTCCCATTCTGGGGACTTGATCCTTAAGTAACTGTGGTTATTTACGGCCATTTTTTTCTAAGAAGTCAATTTATTACCGCTATGAGTTTCAACTAGATGTGGACTTTTGAGACTTTTCAGGAATCGGAACAAAAATAATGCGAATAACTTTCGTGTTGTTTCATTCCGTAGTTTGGTGAATGATGCCGCTGTGGCACGGATTTTAAGTATTTGACTTTTTGTCGATTATACGATTTGCGTGTACAATTCAATAAAAACCCTTGTATCAAACAACTTACGGTCTAGAGGAAAGTGATCTCTTTACTTTGCTTGGGAATCATGTTGTTTGTACTACATATATAAGGCCAGAAAGTTTGATCTTTGGGTCTTCAAGTTGAATTTAATTCCAATATATGAAAGGAGTACAACGGTTTGTTATAAGGATTCAAATACAAGTATTATCTACGAGGCAGCAGAG